AAGAAAACTTGTTCTCTCATTGTTGATAGTGGATCTTGTAATAACTTTGTAAGCCAAAGGTTGGTTGATAAGCTTAACCTAACTACTATAGCCCATCCTAAATCTTATAAACTTCAATGGCTTAATGAGGATGGACCTATAGAAGTTAAGGATCAAGTAAATGTTCCTTTCTCCATTAGAAAATATAAAGATGAAATTTTATGTGATATAATTCCAATGGATGCAAGCCACATTTTACTTGGAAGGCCTTGGCAACATGATAGGAAGGCCATTCATGATGGTGTTACAAAAAGTCTTAAATAACAAAGTTTACACATTCTAAATTTCTAATAGAAATATTTAAGTCTCAATGCCTTTAAAATTTAAAGTCCAAGCATACCAACTATTAACCAAATATTAAAGCCTTACTACCTTAAAACTTTAAAAGTCTTAATACACAACCAAACAAATATAAAACATTTGTAAGTCCAAGTACATCAAAGTCTAAATACCTTAAAACATCAAAGTCTTAATTAATATCTTAAAAAAGGCCCTTAGCCCCCATGTCAAGCAGATTACAATCATTCAAAACCTCCATGAATTGGGATGCCCTTGCCATCGAGAAGCGACCACCCCGACACTCCGTTGACGTCATAATTTCATTGAAGTCCCCAAACACTAACCATGGTAGCGTAATCCGTCCCCCCAACTCTCGTAGATGATCCCAAACCCGTTGTCTGAGTTCCACTTGAGGATTAACATAAACGGCAGTACACACCCAACTCTTTCTTCCTTCCACAACCGTAAACGATATGGCCTGAGAGTGAGAGGCAAATTCAGATAGATTAGCAGAGCAAGACATCGCCATCAGAACCCAAATACCCCCAAAATGCCCCGTAGCCTCGATACTAAAACACAACTTATAGTCCATCTTATTCCAAAAGCTTGCCACCGAAGAAAACTGACAATGGGTTTCCAAAACAATAAAAATAGCCGGGTGATGGAGCCTTACTAACTCCGAAACCCTCCTTTTACCTTTGGCATTAACAGCCCCTCGAATGTTCCAACTTAAAATATTAAAATATGTATTCATTAAAACGGTAAGACACGGCAGATACTCAAGCCATCATGGCCTTCTCTTCCAATGGCTGGTCATATTGCATAATATCCTCCATCCCTGGTAACTCCTGCCCACCATCCTCGTTAGCATGGCATGCGTCAATCGTGAAACCTGATTGGGGCACACTTGTTATCATATCCTGGTGCAATTCCCCCATCAACTCCTCGTGCACACGTGGGTCACCGAGAGAAGAATGGGTGTATGGGCTTCGGGTCTTATTCTTTTCCACGACGGAGTCCGTGTTCGCGCCAGCTGGAATGGGCCGTGATTGTTCACGAAACTCCTCCCCTCTGATACGTTTCTTTCGTTCACTATTGGCGCCCTTAATTTGAGGATTCCTATTCGGTGTGTGGTCCCTATCACCATGTATGGAACCAGCTACATGGCTATGTTCTCGTGGAGGTACAGTCACCACACGTGGGGTTTTAAAACTCGCACGTGGTACGTCAAGTTGCACACCCTTCGTGGGGGTAATCTTGCATATTCCGATCCCGCTCCTTAATCTCCGTAATCCCATTATGAGATGCAGATCGTCCCTTGCTAAACGGTTTGCCAATATTATGTTTCCGATTTTGCCGTTTCACAATCAGCCAATCTCCATGCGGATCTGGCGCGATATCGCCCCTAACCTGCGAAGCTGATTCCTCTCCCATTGAAGCCGCCGAAACTGCACTATGTGGTGGCTCCCCCGACTGCTGCTCCGTAACCTCCTGCTCACCGACGCCGTGTGATGTTAGCTCAGGCCTGGTTGCATGCGGACAGTTCCGTAGGACATGTCCATAACAACCGCACGACGAGCACAACAAATGCAATCTCTCGTACTCCACATTATACCAAACACCATTGAGAAAAAACCTCCCCACGACTGGTTCATTTAAATTTATCTCGACACAGACCCGTGCAAACCGTCCCCTCGTCATGTTCAAGGTATTAAGATCCACCTTGACTGGTTTCCCTATGGCCAAAGCAATTGTTAGGAGGACACTCTCATCATAGAACATAACCCCGAGACTTGGGAACCTGATCCAGACAAGAGTACTATCGACCTTCGTTGCTGAAGTTACGAACTCTGGGGACCATGGTCTAACAATCAGATAGTGATCAAAGAGCATCCAAGGGCCCCCGTGCATGACCCGTTCTCTGTCCGCCTCCAAATCAAACTTCACCATAAAGTAGCCATTTGACACGTCCAGCAACTCGAGACCTCCTTGAACCTTCCACAACGCAGGTAGTCTGTCCCGCAAGGTTAAGAACCCCACATCTCTCCCTAGCAACTTTATCACAAGACATTGTTCCCATGGTTCACACAACTGTTTCAATGTGGGTGCCGCGATACTGAATTTGGGTAGCAAACGATCCCCACCCTCAAACTCTAACGTCATAGCCCCCTCCTTGACAAGATCGCGAACAGTCGCCCGCTTAGCCGGGGCACCCAGTACCTTCTCCTTGAAAGTCACCGTCTGACTCATCCTGGAGCCCCCAGCGCCCCCATCCGGCGGTTCCGATGGTGGCTGGCTCCCCACAGGCATGCCCCAAATCCTCTCCATTAACATATCCGGCGGTTAATGTTTTTAGTTTTGCTTTTAATGCTTTTAGTTTTGCTTGCTTTATTTATTTATTTATTATTATATTATTTGTTCATGATTTGATTTCAGGCATTCAGTAATATGGTTATTATTGCTAAACATATAATTAGTAATAGAAATAGTATTATTAAGATGACTTTTGATTTAATTATTCCATTTTTATTATGTCATGAACCTTGTTAAATAATATTCTTAATCTCCATTGTTAAATACTTATACCTTTTTTTTTTAAAAGGCAAAATTTTATTTAGCAAGTAAAGATTCTTTCAATCATAAAAAATAATCAAAAGAGCTTCCAATATTATCAGTACAAATTAGAACACATACAACACAAAACAAAATATAATGAGTAATATAGAAAAAGAAACGCACCCCAAACATTACAAACAGACGAGTCACTATAGATTGAAATCCCCTTATCCTTACCAGACTTTTGATATAATAATCTGGTTGCGTAATCCAGTCATAGAAAGAGAAAGTTGAATTTTCGTAGAGACCTCGAACCCATGACTAAGATTTTAGCAAGGCATCTTGCCACACTGATTCCACATGGAATGATTTTCCTTTGAATATAGTCACATTCCTTGCTAATAAGATAGACCATAAGGTTGCCAGCCAAATTACACACAAAACCTTACTATCTTTATTCTCACTCCCCAACCCAAGATGATACTACATATGTGAAGTACGGTCTAAGGGCATGATCACTAAATGTCCTAACTAACAATAACAATTCATCCATACCTGATAATTTAATGGATTGAAAAATAGCCAATGTAAAGTAGTTCCAGGCTCAAATAAACAGACAGGACATAACTAGAATTTGAACATTTCTTTATATATGGTAGCGTAATCCGTCCCC